TTTTTTTTTTTTTTAGATATTTAGCTTCCTGTGGTATATTGATGAGCAGAACATTTCCACTGCATACCTCACTTGTGCCTAAGGAGATATTTGCAAGAACTTTCTTCAATATCACTGCGCCCTTAATAAACAAAAGAAAAGAATATTCAGAGAGGAGAATAATAGGGTTTGTATGTAATAATATTTCTAAGTGAGAAACTTAACAGTTTTAAGGCATATCATGACTCTTTTTATCTAGATTTTGCTCTTATAGACTAAGCCGTGGTATTTTCTGGATTGACCTTTTATAGCATCTCTTCTTAATAAATATTTGTTGAGAGAATAACACAGTTATAGGCTGTAGATGTAAACCTTGTTATATAGAGGCAATAATTTATAAAACCTGAATTTTGTACATTGGGGTTTTTTCCCCCTAGAGTGACAGTAATACAGATGTCTAGAGCCAATGTGTTTATGTCTCCCTCACATAGGTAATGCATGTATAATACCTATTAAGAGGCTCTTAATAAGACCGTCAGGCCTTCCTTTCACGATACCTCAGGGTCGATAAGAACTGCCAGTTTACAAACTAAGGTGATCTAGGAAGAAAGATCTGGCACTATGCTTTTCAAAACCAAACAGTAAAATCCTATAGATCACACAAATACTGTTGACCTTGAAATTACTGAGTTTCGAGTTGATCTTGATGGCAGTCAGCACGAGTTAGTGGGGAAAATAGCTTGAGTAGGTTAAGTTGAGAAGAAAAGCAAGAGTTCTTCTGTAATGTTCCAGAAAGTGAAAATATTTGGCTTTGCAGTCTCTTGTGAGATTATTCAGCTCTTAGTTTAGTTTCAAAGCAGCTACACAGTATATAAGTACTTTATTTGACTCTTAACCTAGTCATATGCACAAGACAAAAAAAAATAATATAATAGGAATGCACAGTACAGCAGCCTTCTATATGAGAATTTTTAGAATAGGTTCTTTTTTTTATTAACTTTTATTAATTTTAATGAACATTTACTCAGTAAGTTTTCTTAATACCCAGTTCACAGTTGTCTATCATATAACTATATGCCATTAATCTACCTCTTTTTCTTTTTCTTTCTCTTTTTAAAGATATTCTATGCAAGAGATGTATGATGTAGTATCGGAAGTAGACCATTACAAGCATTTTGTTCCTTGGTGCAAAAAATCAGATATAATATCTAAGAGATCTGGGTACTACAAAGCACGATTGGAAGTTGGATTTCCACCTGTTTTGGAGCGTTATACTTCGGTAGTAACCCTAGTGAAGCCACATTTGGTAAAGGTAATAATTTTGATTTTTGTTATTTTATTAATCATGTAACAGTGTAAATATAAGTTGATATATACATCAGATTTATATATTACACTAAAGTGGTAGCTTAAAATGATTTCCCTGAACTATTGGAAGGGGGAAAAGCCCCAAACGATTTTTGTATGTCTTAATGGTAGTGTTTTATAAGATGTTGTTAGGTGCTATCAAGTTGACTGTGACTCATAGCAACCCTATGAACACTAGTTCTAAAACTTCCCTAGTCTTGAGTCAGCCTCATAACCTCCAACACACTTGACTCCATTGTTGCAGTCACTGTGTCAATCCATCTCCTCAGGAGTTTCCTCTCTTGTGCTGAAACTCCACTCTTCCAAGCATGATACCCCCTTACATCATTCGCAAAATATGTGACAGTTTCACCATCCTTGCCTCCAAGGATCAGCCTGTTTGTTCTCTTGGCAATTCATGGAATATTCAGTACCTTTTCTAGCACCACAACTGTAAGGCATTGAGTCCTTCAATTCGTTTCATTCTAAATCCAAAGCTGTTATACTAAATACTCCCTATAACCATATTGGCAAGGTGTATAATCATTGTCCAACTTACAGATGCATAGCAAGCAATTGAAAACACCATGGCTTGGATTAGGTACACCTCACCTTAGTCTTCATACTACTCCTGTTGCTCTTTAGCACACTGAGATGTCCTTGACAGCATATTTTCCTAGTATTGCTTATCTTTTGAATTGCTGATTTCTGATGCCATGGATATTGATTGTGGATCCCATTAAGATGAAATTGTTGACAATTTTAGTTCTTTCTCTAGCTGTTATGATGCTGCCTGCTGGCCCAGTATTAAGAATTTTTGTTTTCTTGATGTTGAGATGTAATCCATATTGAAGGATATAATCCTTGACCTTCTGCAGCAAGTGCTTCAAGTCCTCAGTTTCAGCAACCATGGTTGTGCCATCTGCATAATGCAGGTTTTAGAGTCTTCCTCCAGTTCTGATGCCACACTCACTCTTCATAAAATCCAGCTTCTCAAATGATCTGTTTAGAATATAGATTGAGAAAACATAGAGAAAAGATACATCCTTGACACGCACCATTCTTGATTTTAAACCATTTAGGGTTCCTGTTCCTTTGTTCTACTTGGGCAGTAGCTTCTTGATCGCGATACAAGTTTCACATAGCATGATTAAGTGTTCTAATTCTTCTTAATGTTAGACATAATTTGTCGTGATCCACAGTCAAATGCTTTTGCATAGTTGATGAAACACAAGTGGACATCTTTCTGATAGTCTCTGGTTTCAGCCAAGATCTATCTGACATCAGGGAGCTCTGGTGGCCACATGGTAAGGAGCTGTGCTGCCATCCTAAAGGCTGGTTAGAAACCACCAGCTGCTCAGCGGGAGAAAGATGTGCACTCTCTTCCTGTGCGATTTACTGCCTCTGAAAACTCACTGGAAGGTCAACTACAGGTCAGTTCTAACTTGACAGTGTACAGCAGCAAACAACATCTGACATCAGCAGTGACATCCCTAGTGTCATGGCCTCTTCTAAATCATGCTGATGTAGTCACTGTCAAAGAGACCATTTCTACATTTGTCCTGAAGTACAGTGCTTAGAGTCACAGGGTGCTATTTATTTGCATACAAGACCTAAACCCTGCTCTATCCTGTGCCAGTCTCATTGTCTCCAGCACACCTACCTCAACTACCCCAGTCACTGAATCAGTCCACCTCATAGAGGGTCTTCCTCTCCTGCGCTGGTCCTCCACCCTCCCAAGTATGATGTCCTTCTCGAAGGATTGGTCCCTTCTTGCACCATGTCCAAAGTATGTCAGATGAAGCTTCAGAATCCTTGCCTCCAAGGAGCAGCCAGGCTTAACTCTCTCCAGGATTAACCTGTTAATTTTCTTAGCAGTCCATGGTATATTCAATACTCTTATCCAGCACTACAGCTCAAAGGCATCAGTTCTTCTATCATCCCTAGTCATTGTCCAGCTCTCTGATGCATAGCAAGTGATTGCAAAGACCATGGACTGTATCAGGCACACCTTAGTCTCCAGAGTGACATCATTGCTCTTCAGTATTTTGGAGAGGTCTCTAACAGCAGACTTTCCCATCGCAATATGTCTTTTGATTTCCTGGCTGCTGGTGCCAAAAGTGTTGACTGTGGAGCCAAGCAAACTAAAGCTGTGAACAATCTCAATCTCTTCACCATCCATCCTGATGCTGCCAATTGACCCAGTGGTGAGAACCTTTGTTTTCTTGATATTGAGCCTCAAACTAAGTTGTGTCAAGAAATCTGGAGAACAACCACTTGGCCAACTGACTGGAAGAGGTCTATTCCAAAATACTCCAAAAGAGTTCCCAAAGAGGTTCCCATTCCAAAGAAAAGTGATCCAACAGAGTGTGGAAATTATCGAACAATATCATTAATATCACATGGAAGCAAGATTCTGCTGAAGATTATCCAAAAATGACTGGAACAGCATATCGGAGAACTGCCAGAAATGCAGGCTGGGTTTAGAAAGAGTTGTAGTATTAGGGATATTGTAGCTAATGTTAGATGGATCTTGGCTGAAAGCAGGAAATACCAGAGGAATATCTCTCTCTGTTTCATTGATTATGCAAAGGCATTTGACTGTGAGGATCACAACAAACGGTGTCTAACTCTGAGAGGAATGGGAATCTCAGAACACTTGATCATGCTAATGCGGAACTATACATGGACCAGGAGGCAGTTGTTAGAACGGAGCAAGGAAATACTGTATGGTTCAAAATTGGGAAGGTGTACACCAAGGATGTGTCCTATCTCTGAATCTTTTCAATCTATATGCAGACCAGATTATCCAGGAGGCTGGTCTGTATGAGGAGAAATGTGGCATCAGGATTGGAGGAAGACTAATCAACAATTTGCGTTAGGCAGATGACACAACCCTGCTTGCCGAAATTGAGGAGGACCTGAAGCGCTTGCTGCAGAAGGTCAAGGAATGCAGCCTTCAGTACAGATTGAGGCTCAATATCAAGAAATATGGCATAGTTATTTAATATCAGAGCCAAGAATCCAGCTCATTCTGTTGATTCCTGTGAATATCTTTGTAATCTTACATCCTTATTTTTTATGTTCTGACCGTAAAACTTTATTAATAGAGAATTGTGTTGCAAACCCAAAGATCACACCTCTCTAGTGGTTCAAATCCATCGGTGGCTCTGCAGGAGAAAGATGAGGAGTCTGTTGTTTGATTTACAGCCTCAGAAACTCATTGGTGGGTCAGTTATGAGTTGATTTTTGACTCAGACTCACCAGCAATAAGTTTGCATTTTCATCTCTTAGTAGATTATCTCTAGGAACTAGGATTATGTTTCTAGTTAGAGAATTGTGCATACAATCCTTGCATGAATAATTCTAGTGATTAGTTAAAGATTTGTTGGCCTAATTGTAAGGAGTTGCACTCCCAATTCCAAGGCAGATGGTTTGAATCCACCAGTTCTCTTAGAAGAATGGGCAAACTGTGTGATTGATAGCCTCTGAAAACCCTGTGACAGGTCAATTCTGACTTGAGAGTATGCACCAAGTTCCTATAAGACATTAGTTAACAGTGTTCGAGAATGTCCAAACTGCTGTACCACTCCATCATCTCTAACATTAATTATTCCTCTTGCCTTCAGTCTTCTTACTCCAGCTTATGTCTTTGGGCTCTTTCACTGGAAGGTTTTCTAAAAACTCAAAATCATCATGGTTGAGGTGATTATGGATGATATAAGTATGGCCACTGAGGCTGGTGAATTTGGTGGCCTGTAGGCTCAGGGTATTGGTTGGAGGCTAACTGCTGTCATTTGTAGGCTGTAGGATATCACTTTTGTTGGTTGTTGGTACAGCACAATTAGATTAGAAGCCTGTTTCCTTGCTAACAGGCCTTGAGCTTCCCAGAGCATTCCTTTATGTAGGATCTCAGACTTGACCCTGGAGAAGCAGGATTGGTGACTAGGGTCATACCTTCAAGTATCGGGGCTTGTAGGCACTGATAAACAGTGAGCCACTTATCTACAGTTGAGGCAGCTAGAGATCATGCCCCCAGGGAACTAAGGGTGGCAGGGAGAGTCTCAAAGATTCATCTTACACATTCTCAACTGACCATGTGGTCGGGTCCAAGGCAATAGATATAAAGGATTTTTTCAAAATCCTAATATTACAGCTGCCAAAAGAACAAACAAAGCTGTTTTGGAGAAAGTGCAGAGAGGATGGTCTTTACAGACAAGGATGGTAAAACTTGGTTTTCCAAACTTTGGTCATATCAGGAAGGGCCAGTCCTTGGGAATGGGCATGCTGGGAAAGGTTAGAGAAAGAGAGGAAGCCCCCAACAATATGGATTGATGTAATCGACTGTAACAGTGGGTTCAGGCACATAAGAGACTGTGAGGACGGCACAAGATAGAGGAAAATTCATGTCTTTTGGGTCATAGGATTGCCATGGGTCATAGCCAACAGTACCTAACAATGATGATGACAATAATAACCCATGTTAGAGTTGCAACCCAATTTTATGAGTCTTAAGGATATAAAGAATTTGGCATAAAGTCCTCATCTCTTTGAGTTTCTGCTCCTGGGTGATCTTCATATGCTTGCATCTCTTTTTTTCCCACCTCCATCTCTACTTTCTCATTTGCTAATCTCTGCGTCTCAAAAGAGATTGACTCAAAATGCTCGTCATACTCATGTTTCCTCATTAATATGACAAACACAACCCATTCTCAAAAGTGTTATAACCACAGAATAGGAATTAAGAATACAGTACCTACTTGTAATGGGTGAGGAGAAAACACAATTCTGTCTATAACATTGTATATTCTCAACTTCCAGTAGTCTGAGGTCCAGATTTAGATTATGTGATATACATATTTTACATATAATAATTATGACCAAAAGAGCACCAGCAGCTATCTTCTATTTCTTGTGTATTATTATTAGGAGCTAAATTTTCTGTAAGCACCTCAGGTGATTATAAAGATGAGGTAGAATGTATTCTTAAAGTTGGATAGGTGGATGACAAAACTCCTGTGCAATTTACAGTCTCTGAAAACTTAGGGGAGATCAGCTCTGAGTTTCCAACTCTTAATCTTGCTAATTTAGACTTGAGTAACCCTTGGAGGTAGATGGAGGAATTTTATCATTGATTGGTTTTGGAATAAACCAAAAGAGCTAAAAGTAGAAGACTTCATTTAAATAGAGGCTATAGACTTTGAAATGGGAATTTAAAAATTGGAGAATACTTGAGGTCATTTGTCTACTGGAATAATAAAAGTCCTAAGAACATCTTAGATAGTGTGTGAAAAATCTAAATATTAAAGTTAAAATCCGTTATATGGTTGTAAATACTATTCTGACTAGTTTTTCATACTAAAGGTAAAAATGCTTTAGTGTGAGTTGCAATCATTGCTTGTTTATTCATATTCTGTAGTACAGTAACATATAATGGGAAGCAACACAATGTAAGATTCTACTGAAGATTATCCAAAAACGACTGGAATAGCATATCAGCAGAGAACTGCCGGAAGTCCAGGCTGGGTTTAGAAGGGGTCGTGGTACTAGGGATATTGTAGCTGATGTTAGATGGATCTTAGCTGAAAGCAGGGAATACCAGAGGAATGTATATCTGTGTTTCATTGACTATGCAAAGGTGTTTGACTGTGTGGATCATAACAAACTGTGGCTGACTCTGAAAAGAATGGGAATCCCAGAACACCTGATCGTTCTAATGCAAAACCTATACTTGGACCAAGAGGCAGTTGTCAGAACAGAGCAAGGAAACACTGCATAGTTCAGAATTGGGAAGGACGTATGCAGGGATGTATCCTATCTCCATACGTTTTCAACCTGTATGCAGAACAGATTATCCGGGAGGCTGGGCTCTATGAGGAGAAATGTGGGGTCAAGATTGGTGAATGATCTGTCAACAGTCTGCGTTATGCAGATGACACAATCCTGCTTGCTGAAACTGAGGAGGACCTGAAGCGCTTGCTGCAGAGGGTCAAGGACTGCAGCCTCCCAATATGGATTGAGGCTCAATGTCAAGAAGACAAAGATTCTCACCACAGGACCAGTTGGCAGCATCAGGTTGGATGGTGAAGAGATTGAGATTGTTCACAGCTTTAGTTTGCTTAGCTCCACAGTCAACACTCTTGGCACCAGTAGCCAGGAAATTAAAAGGCGCATTGCCATGGGGAAGCCTGCTGTTAGGGACCTCTCCAGAGTACTGAAGAGCAATGGGGTCTCTCTGGAGACTAAGGCGCATCTGATACAGGCCATGGTTTTTCCAATCACTTGTTATGCATCAGAGAATTGGACAGTGACCAAGGAGGATAGAAGGAGAATTGATGCTTTTAAGCTGTGGTGCTGGAAAACAGTATTGAGAGTACCGTGGACTGCTAGGAAAACAAACAGATTCATCCTGGAAAGGGTTAAACCGGGTGGCTCCTTGGAGGCAAGGATTCTGAGGCTCTGTCTAACATACTTTGGACATGTAAGGAGAGACCGGTCCTTGGAGAAGGACATCATGCTTGGGAGGGTGGAGGGACAGTGCAGGAGGGGAAGGCCCTCTATGAGGTGGATTGATTCAGTGACTGGGATAATCGGGATGGGAGTATCAGAGATAGTACAATTGGCACAGGACAGAGCAGAGTTTAGGGCTGTTGTACATAGGGTCGCTATGAGTCGCAAGCAACTCGACGGCACATAACAACAACAACAATAATATATATAATATAAGTGTTCATTTAATGTGACTTTTATGTTTCAATGTATACACATACTTATGAAATATACATTGGCACAAAATCGTAAATCAGAATGTCTCATTGGGCTAGACTTCTCACATCCCACCTCCACCCCTGGTTATATACCATCAAATTAGACTCACCTGGCACAGGAGGCGATATCCCCTCCTTCTGCAGCAGAGCATCTGATGGATTTGAACAGTGTGCTTTTGGTATTGCAGCAAAGCTTCTTGCCACTAGGCCAGCAGAGCTCCTTTGGGCTAGACTTTTAAGAAAACTGGAGACATAATCCTCAAGGAATAAAAAGTGAAGGAAAGACTAAGTGTACTTTAAATAATGTAGAATCTTTTTGTCTATCAGGGACAATTACAGAATTTGACAATTTAAGAATTTTTTTTACCTTTTATAATCTCATAATGATCATATTAATGAATATGCTTTTTTACTCATTTTAGAGATTAGAGAAATAGAATCTGGGCAGTTAACTTGTTCAGAATAAAATTAGGTGACAAAGCAGGAAAAACTTACAAACATTGGTAATCTGCCAAAAAATGATTCTCCGTGTTCCTGGAGAAGAGAAGTAGCTCAGTAGGTGGTAACTGGAAGAGAACAGCTACTAATCCCAGGAAAGAAAGGCTTACATTGGGAAGAGATTACTTTCTAATAACAGCATTAAAAATTAGATGACTTCATCATCTGTGTCATCCTATAGATTTTCTTAAAAAAAAGATTTTTTTATTATTAATTTTAATGAAAATTTACAGAGACTTTGTATTTCCATTCATTCAGTGTTGTACTTTTCTCTCTGTCGTCCCCCCCAGTACACTCTTCTCTTTGAAAAGTAAGAAAAATTCTTTCATTGTTTTACAATCCCTCCCCCAGGTCCACTCCACTATGCAGCTTTCATTCTGGACTCCTGTCATGACAATAATACCTAATCACATATCCCTTTTAAACAGTTTTCTCCCTCATCTGTTTCAATGCAATATACATTTTTTATCCCATCTTTCTCGGTCTCCCCCAAACCCAGATGTCAGTCCTGTTTTACAACAGTGACACTATGTAGTATTTGTCCTTTGGTGACTGAGATATTTCACTCAGCGTAATGTCCTCCAGGGTCACCCATTTTGAATAATATTGCATGAGTTACTTGTTTTTCAGTGCAGCATAGTATTCCATTGTGCGAATATACCACAGCTTCTCTATCCATTCGTTTGTTGGCGGGCACTTAGGTTGTTTCCAACTCCTTGCTTTTGTGAACAAAGCTACTTTAAACGTGGGTGTGCATAAGTATTTACTTCCCAGTCATGATAGATTCTAGTCAATACCAAGTGCTGTTTTACTGTGGTTTTATTTTTTAACTTTGTTCTAGGCATCCTGCACAGATGGGAAACTTTTCAAACATTTGGAGACGATTTGGCGTTTTAGTCCGGGACTTCCTGGCTACCCAAGAACTTGTACTTTGGATTTTTCAGTAAGTTTGTCATGAACTTCCTAATTTGTTCCAAACACTTAGAAGAGAAAGAATCCTCTACTTAGTAGAATCTACATACCACGATTAATTTCATGAACATAAAGATTACTGAAACACACTTAAAACATCCCACATTTCTGAGGATTGAATGCCTTTCTCTGCATTGATTAGATGGGAAAGAATGCAAAAGAACTGGTTTTTTCCTGTTTTATTTATTATAATCTTTGATATTCATTCCTTCAGTTTCCTAATTTTTTGTAATGCCATGGATTATAAAATACATGTTATCAGTTTATTGACAGCTTAATGGCACCAAATTAATTCTATACTTTGATTATAAAATGCAGAAATTATATCAAAAGAGGGGAAACATGCCTTTTAGAATTTAAGAACTATAAGTTAATTTTCAGGTTACTTTAGCTATAGAAAATATGAAATTACTTGGGATATTTTCTTTGCTGACAGACGATGTAAGTTTTGCTCTCTATAATTCATATAATAAATCTTAAATGGTACCAATTTTTATTAAACTATTACAACTTCTTAGCACTTGAGGTAGTTTTATTGATAAATTAGTGAATGTCTTAGAAAAGGTTCAGCCAGAGTACTCTTTGGAGGCAAATATGGTGAAGCTTCATCTTTCACTCATACTTTGGATTTGTAATGAGGTAAGACTATTCCTTGGAAAAGGACATCACACTTGGGAAGATGGAGGATTGGTGAAGGAGAGGAAGACCTCCAACAAGGTGGATTGACATGGTGACTTCAGCAGCAGGCTCTAGTGTGTCACAGATGGTGACAGTGGCACAGGGTTCAGGCTGGCTTGTTGCTATGAGTTGTACTGACTCCACAGCACCAGCACCACAATGGAATACCTGAGGAAATACAGTAATGTCTGGGGAGAAAGATGGGCATTCTTCCGTATGATTTACTGTCTCTGAAAACCCGCTGGAGGGTCAGTTATGGGTCACTTTTGACTCCACAATACGTAACAACCACCACCATTAATAAGCCAAATGTGGCAGAGTATTCAGAACTTTTTTCCTGCTTGCTTTTATTATGCATCAGATTCTCCACCTTGGACTTTACTTTTATTTGTGTTGACAGTTCTGCTTACTACAGTGAGACTCCCTTTTCTGAGGAGTGTTGAAAGAAAACTTTGTCTAAATACACTATACATCTCTAGCTTAGATACTGGCCAGCTAACCTGTTGATACCCGAGACACTGTCTTGGCTCCTTTTGGCATCTAGTGAGTCAGTATGATTTCCTGACCAGGGCCTGATGATTCCCTAGCTAGGAAAGGTACCTTCTGGCTTCTTTATCCCTATGAGTTTGCCACTAAGTTACACAGATTACTGGCCTGACAGGCGTTTGAAAAATCCAGTCCAATCTCAGTTTAGCAAGAGTGAGGTTTTTTTATTAAGCAATTTTGCAAAATTGGACACCCAGGTATAAAGTAGATTGGAGTGCCTTTCATAGCTTTATCATGTCAATTAACAATTTGAGGGGTTTTTGCTAGTGATTTTAACAAAATTTTAAAGGAAAGTTAAAATTCTCATTCACTGTTGCACACAGTTCCTTCCTTACCTCCTTCCGGTTAACTTAAAAAAAATAATCATTTTTGCATAATTTCCTCCTTCCCTACCCCAGTCCATTTTGCTGTGCATCTCTCATTCTGGACTGTTGTCATACAGTTAATGCCTAATCATATATTCCTTTTAAACAGTTCTTTCCCTCATCTGTTCCAATGCAGGGTCCATTTTCCCTTCTTTTCTCAGTTTTCCCGCAACTCCCATGTCAGTCCTTTTTTATAACAGTGGTATTATATAATATTTGTCTTTTTGTGACAGATATTTCACTCAGTATACTGTCCTCCAGGATCACTTATGCTGTGTAATATGTTAGGAGTTGCTTATTTTTCAGTGCTGCATATTTTGTATTATTCCATTATGTGAATACACCATAGTTTTCCTAGCCACTCATTTATTGATGGGAGCAGTTTGTTTCTTTTGGACCAGCTCATGCTATTACACCAGCTTTTGATGGACTAATCTAAAGTCTAATTTTTAAAAAAAAATCTCCCATAGCCCACCTCACAGTTTGAGTACTACTGAAAGGATAAGTGAGTGATGGTGGCATGGTCTTTAGGGACTGATGCTACTAGCTCCAAGACTGCGGCTCTCTGGCAGTTTGAGTGCACCATGGTTCCTTGGAACAGTAGGCAGTCTCCTCCTTTGCCAGGTACAGCCTCCAAACCCAAGATCTGACTCAGCAGCAATGAGAGATCCCGAGTGCAGATGTATTAAGAGAACTTTTTAAAATAATAAACCTTTTTTCTTACAGATCTCGTTTGAATTTCGCTCACTTCTACACTCTCAGCTTGCCACACTTTTTTTTGATGAAGTTGTAAAGCAAATGGTAGCTGCCTTTGAAAGAAGAGCAGGTAAACTGTATGGCCCAGAGACAAGTATACCCCGAGAATTAATGCTTCATGAAGTACATCACACGTAAAGGGAAAAATGGACTGATGTCAACTATAACTTTATTCGCTTTTAGAAGTGCTTTCGGAAGTCAAAAAACATTTATTAAGCCCAGCTTTGATCATAAACCTGCACCGTTGAAAATTTGCACATAGAATATGGAACAGTGTGTACATGGAATTATTTCTTCAATCAAGTATAATTCAAAGTATTATGTGCATTAGCATGTTGTGAATTTACCATAATGAGGTATCATCATCATTGCTAGAATACTGACAGCACTATTCTGAGCAGAAATTGAACTGAAACTTTAAATTATCACCTACTTGGAAAGGTTAGTTAAAACACATGTAGTATGGCTTTATTAACTGTATCACATTTCTTATTCAGAATTTTTGTAACTTATTCTTATAGGACTTGCCTCATTGTTTAGGATATTTATGTAATCACCACATATTTAAATAAAACATAGGCTACAAGTACTGTTAACAAACATTACCAGGCATTTTTTATCATTTCTAAATTGTCCTGTACGCAGTAGAGGATTCACTACTATAGTGAAGCTAGTGTCCAGGTAAACAAAGTCTTCTTGGTGAGTGGTCCAGAGATTGAAGGTACTTTTCTAAATAGTTAACAACTCTCTCCCAGGTCCTTTGCCCCTTTCTACAGTACTAATTATGTCAAATCTCATCTACAATATTAAGTAGATGAAAATGTTAATTATGTATCTGTTTTCTATTTATTGTGTATTCATTTTCAATAATGTATTTCAAACTAGTATTTTTTAAAAAAACAAATCAACATAAGGACTGAATTGGTAACAATAAAGTTAATTTGTTTACTCTTGGTTATTTGATTATTGAAATGTTTTGATGTGTGTTAAAAAAAGGTTGGTCCTATACTGGCCAGAATTTACTCTTCCTTTTAATCAATATTGAACTTTCTTCCCTATACCTAATGAAAGGACCAGTTATCAGAAACTCAGTTTCTGGTAAAGTACAGTTAACCCCACCCCACCTGCTTGAGTGGTTTTACCTGTGGTAAATCCCACCCTGATTGATCAACTGCCATAAAGTGGAATTCTTCTTCTCTGTAAGAGCACAAGGAGTTTTCCACATTCCTGTATCTGAAGTAACTGATAAGATTCAAAAAAGGTTTCCAAACTGTTACCCTGAGCTATGGCTAGCCAGTTGAAGGTGGACAAATACCCAAACTACTGTGGATGGCCAATCATGGCGTGTATGGTTGGGCAGGGGAGTAGCAGAGGTATAAAAGGAGGGACAGACATCAATTCGGGGCTCTCGGGTGGATGCTGCTGTGTCAGCACGCAGGAGCCTGGGTTCGAACTCGAAATAAACTGTTAATTCAGCTAATTGGCTCGGTGATCTTTTTGGGGACTCGCTCCGTTACATTTGGAGGCCCCAGCGAGATCTCCCTAAATTCATCCAAACCCTGATCGCCAGCCAACAGAGTAACTGTGATGTCGCTGTAGGATTCTTCCTACCTGGTAAGTCAGGCCTGATAACTGGTTAATCTGTATTCTGTTTGATACACTCCGGTTTTGAATTGGGCAGTTGGAAGGCAGGACGCTGCATAACTTCCAGTCCAAGACCACGGCAGTGACGACTGCCAAGGTCCAAGTGTCAGAGGAAGTGGGGGCTCACCTGGATTCAGCTTGTGTGGAAGTCTGGGCTCTCGGGTGGATGCCACTGGCACGCGAGAGCCCAGGTTTGTCCCGCAAGTTCGGAATTAGCTTGTGCAGGTCTGGTGACCCGCAAGTTTGGAAACTCGGGAGAGAGGCCCACGCCTCAGACGTTCGGTGGGTGGGAGGTGAGAGAAACCCACCCCTCGAACCAGGTCTGTCAGTCCGGACTCAAGTTCTGCCATGGTTTTTTTCGACAACAGTGTTCGTTTGTCTGCTGGTTGGGAGAGGCCGTTCTTCGGACTCAGGTTTTGTCGTGGTCTTTGTTGTCAATAGTGTCTCTTGCTATTTTTGTGAATTTGTGTTTGTCAGTGGTCTTTCTGTCGACAGTGTCTTTCCATTTCCATGCATTTGTGTGGCTCTTTACTCTGTTCTGGAACAAACAGTGCTAGCAAAACAGGCGCAAGTGAAAAATGGAAGCGGGACAGTCAAGGGTGGAAAGACCGTCCCCTTTGGAGTGTTTGGTAACTAACTTTTCAGACTTCTCTTCCAGGGCAGCCGGATATGGCATCCAAGTAGATGCTTTCACTCTTAAGGAAGCTTTGTGAACTAGAGTGGCCGGCTGAGAGGACCCTGGAAATGGGCCACACAATTGGAGTTCGAGCCATAGCGTATGGCCTCCCGGGGTACCTGGATCAAATTCCTTACATAAGATGTGTGGATCTCCTTGTAAATTAGTACAAACAATTCAACAGAACAGAACAATCTTAACTATAGTGCTATTAGCTTTATAGCCTCAGATCAAAATAAAGTCACACTAATTAGTTCCCTGAATAATTATAAGATGAAGTGCTACCAGGGTACTTGCTCCTAAAAAAAGGAAGTGAAATATCCCTTTTGGGCATATCAAAGGGAGGGACTAGGACTTGGAAAAAACAATCATGCTGGGAAAGGGTCAAAACTAACAGAGCATGGAGGAGAGTGAAGACTCAATGGCAAGGTTACAATTTCTAACTACTTGTTTGTTGTTATGTGCCGTCGAGTTGCTTGCGACTCATAGTGACCCTATGTACAACAGCTGTAAACTCTGCCCTGTCCTGTGACAATCGCACTGTCTCTGATAACACCCATCCTGATTACCCCAATCACTGAATCAATCCACCTCATAGGGGGCCTTCCCCTTCCCACCCTATCAAGCATGATGTCCTTCTCCAAGGACCTGTCCCTCCTTGCAACATGTCCAAAGTATGTTAGACCGAGCCTTAGATCCTTGCCGCCAAGGAGCAGACCGGTTTGACCCTTTCCAGGATGAATCTGTTTTCCTAGCAGTCCATGGTACCCTCAATACTCTTCTCCAGCACCATAGCCCAAAGGCACCACATCTCCTATCCTCCTTAGTCACTGTCCAACTCTGATGCCTAACAAGTGATTGAAAAGACTATGGCCTGTATCAGACACACCTAAGCTCCAGAGAGACACCATTGCTCTTCAGTACTTTGGAGAGGTCCCTAACAGCAGACTTACCCATGGCAATATGTCTTCTAATTTCCTGGCTGCTGGTGCCAAGAGTGTTGACTGTGGAGCCAAGCAAACTAAAGCTGTGAACAATCTCAATCTCTTCACCAACCAACCTGATGCTGCCAACTGGTCCAGTGGTGAGAATCTTTTGTCTTCTTGACATTAAGCCTCAATCCATATTGGGAGGCTGCAGTCCTTGGCCCTCTGCAGCAAGCGCTTCAGGTCCTCCTCAGTTTCAGCAAGCAGGATTGTGTCATCTGCATAATGCAGATTGGTTGATCATTCACCAATCTTAACCCCACATTTCTCCTCAGAGCCCAGCCTCCCAAATAATCTGTTCTGCATACAGGTTGAAAAGGTATGGAGATAGGATGCAACCCTGGTGTACGCCCTTCCCTATTTTGAACCATGCAGTGTTTCCTTGCCCTGTTCTGAGGACTGCCTCTTGGTCCAAGTGTAGGTTTTGCATTAGAATGATCATGTTCTTCTGAGTCAGCCAGTTTGTTACGATCCACACAAACACCTTTGCATAGTCAATGAAAGACACACATTCCTCTGGTATTCCCTGCTTTCAGCTAAGACCCATCTAACATTAGCTACAATATCCTTAGTACCACAACCCCTTCTAAACCCAGACTGGACTTCTGGCAGTTCTCTGCTGTTGTTATTCCAGTCGTTTTTGGATAATCGTAAGTAGAATCTTGTTTGCATGTGAAATTAGTGGTATCAAACTTAGGGTTACTATAAACTTCATAGTACCTAACTATGTGCATATGTAATTACCTGTTTTTCTGCCAGACTCCAGGTACAATGTTGAGGCTATTGACTATCCATGTGCATAAAGCAGTTTATTTATGTAAGTGGTAATTTCTCCACATATTTAAGAGGTACTTGCCTAGTTAGTATAGTTCCATGTTCTTTAATCCATTAACCAGTTGTCTCAATCATATCACCTAAAAGCATTTTATGTGTAGGTTTAAGACTTTTTGTGCTAAATGCCTAGCTCATGCCTACAAACCTATAACCTCAAAATACTGAGAAGCAGACTACTCCATCTTCCCCAGTACAGGTCTGTATTAGCTGCAAGAAAGAAGACCCTTGCCAGCTGTTTTAAATGTAGTGGTGGTGAAGATGTTGTCCCCCTGGAGTCTATCATTTAGAAAGCAAATCATGGTATCAGCATGTGCAAAAAGCTAAGCTAAACTGCAATACCTCTTCTATAGATCTAGTTAAGTGGCACATTAGTTCAGTCATTAGACCATGTCTAGTAAATGAAAGATATCCCCAGGAAACACTGAACTTGCTTAGCACACCACTCTTCCACATGAAGTAATCTTATCTACAGCCTAATGAAAACTCATTAGGTTTTTGACTTGAGGGCAGTATTTTGTCCCAAGTTATAGCCTAGGTGGGTTATACTGGAGCTTTGAAACAGTAAACACAATCTCCACAATTAAAAAACTGTCCTTTATGATCAGGCTTCAACAAACAGTACTTTTACTATTAGCTTCACCGAAGCTGTTTAAAATTTTCCATTAATTTTAATCAATACCTACCCTTTGCAACTGGGTTTCATTTCTCAAGAATTTCTGGATTATGGAAAGGCTAACACAATGTGACTTAAAACAAGTTTTTATTACACAAAGGTTGTCACATAATTGGGTATTTCTCTACTTTGTACACAATCATTCTTACTCTCCACAGAAAGGCTGCTTAACTTCTCATCTAATGATGGCAAGCACTAAAATCCTGGGTTTTACAGAATAGTAGTAAAAATGCCTCAGTGATTTGAGTCGAAA